CAGCAGGCTGGGTCATTCGTCGTACTAGCAAAAGATACGAAACCCACTTGTACGTAGGTTCTCTACAATAAATACAGTAGAAAACTTCTCCCTCTCTCTCTCTCCAAAGGGCCTGGCGCTCATCAACGGGACGCAGATGATCACCTCGCTGGGCTGTGAGGCTGTCGAGAGAGCCAGCGCCATTGCACGGCAGGCTGACATTGTGGCAGCCCTGACCCTGGAGGTGCTGAAGGGTACCACCAAAGCCTTCGACACAGGTCAGAATGGTCCTTCCATTTCACCAGAGCTGGTGGAATAGCAGTGGGGTCTTTAGACATAGGGGGTGGGGGTGGCTGGTAAGGAAGAAGGAGAAAACTCGTGTCTGTGGTATATCCGGTACTAGTTAAGCTTCAAGTTATGCCTCTCTTGATCCTCAGAATGACCATGTGTTGTAGACACACTGATCCTGAGAGTTAAGTGACCTGCCCCTGGTTACCCAGCAATCTGGGTGAGCTGAATTTTGCATTGTCTTAGGAATCTGTTCACAGGACTTGAGAACTAGAGTTGAATCAGGGTTGGTTCCAGTTAAAAAACTGGGAGGAAAAAATGATAGAAGTCATAGCTTATCTAGAAAGTAGTGAATTTAAGTAATGCCCACTAGAATGAGAAGTAGAGGGGAAAACTGTCTAAAAGTAACTTAGTTAAATTAGACCACAGTAGAAACAACTTCTTCTGGGTTGCTGGAAAAGATATGATGCATTTTACATAGAAAAACAGAAATATCAGGACTTTTCTGACAACCTAATATTATCAGCCCAGTTTTTGTTTTTGTTTTTTCCAAGAGAGACTTTTTCTATAGGGCGCATACACTCACCATAGAAACAGAGAGGCAGGAAGCGAGAAATCCCCCCCCCCAGGGGGATGGCCACACCACAGTCCCTTCTCCTCCATTCTTCTCTCAGGATTTTGGGTACACACACGCACCCCGCATGAATTTTAAGCCGCTGGGTCTGAGACTAACCGGAGTCACAATCAACTATGTGGGGAGTCCAGTGGCATAACCATTCTGCCATCTGCTGGTCCCTAGTCCAATTCTTTTAAGGTAGGACCAGTGTCTTGAGTCCAACTCCCATGGACTCCACACATAGATATTCAAAGTGGAAAGAATAAAGTCAATAAGGAAAACTATTCTCTGGGAGTTAAGTTTCTAATTCTCAGTGATGGTGGAGGATCCCTGGGATTTTTGAGGGCCATGTCGGCATTTTGGATTATTCTGAGCCATTGATGGTAGTTCATCTAATATCAAGATTACTCAGACATTTTCTCCGTTTTCAATTCTAGATATTCATGCTGTTCGCCCTCATCGTGGGCAAATTGAAGTTGCTTTTCGGTTTCGGTCACTCTTGGACTCTGATCACCACCCATCAGAAATAGCAGGTCTGGGCACATTCATGTGACTAAGTAATAGGGTTATATGTTGTGTGCCAAGAAGTCCTACCATGTTCCTGCCTGCTCTTAGCCCTTCTATCTCTTCCACAGAAAGTCATAGATTCTGTGATCGTGTTCAAGATGCATACACCCTGCGCTGCTGTCCACAGGTAAACGCACAAACACACACACACATACACACACACACAAATGATTTTCTTTCTCCAAATTCAGAGAAAAAGGAAGGTGTTAGAATATCATGTAATGGCCAATTATAATCCAAATTTCTTTGTTGCCTCTATTAAAAATGATGTCTTCGGAAACCAGCAGTTGGTATAATGGCTATTTCATTGGACTCACATGTAGTTGACTGCGGTTCCAGTCCTGGACCCGGTGGCTTAAACTCACGCCGGGCGTGTGTGCGTGCGTGCCCAAGATCCCGAGAGAAGAATGAAGAGAAGGGATTGCGGTGTGGCCATCACCCCTGGGGAGTGATTTCTCACTTTTTGTTTCTCTGTCTCTCTCTGTCTTTCTGGCGAGTGCACGCACCCTATATATATATATATATATATATGTGTCTTTCGTACTTTGATTCATCCAATTACTGTAAAGTTTCTATTTTGTATGATACACTCTTGGCTTTCTTTCACATTGTTCTGCTCTACCCCTTTTGCAAGAGGAATCAGATAATTTGCAATATCGATTTAGTGCTTTTAAATACTGACAGTAAAAACATCGCTATAACCAGTTAATAGAGTTTTACTGGTTCTCCTTGTTACATAAAACTTTAACCCAGCAGTCAGGGATGGTCAAAGGAACGACTAAGTAGATCATTTCAAAATACAAGTGCCCATCCATAGCTGGCCTTCATTTTACAGTCAGATATAAATCATTAAAACTAGTCTGTGTGGCTTAACTTTAAATTAAAAATGCGAATAACATGGGTTGGTGTTAGGCATTGCTGGATTGCAGGTGTCAAATTCCATTTGCATATGGCAATGAGTTGACTGAAAGATTAATGAGCATTTCGAGAGAGAATATTTCAGCCATGCCAAGTTTCAGTCTATGGCGTAATATAAAGTCATCCTCAAAAATATTTTTAGGGAAGAATTGCCAGATTAGTTCTACAAGAAAATAAGGCCTGAAGACATCCTCGATGTTCTAGTCATGACAGCAGACTCTCCATAATGGGCGCCACGATCAGTGTCTTCCGTATAATAATTCATTCCATTTCCCCAACTGTGAGATAGGTACTCTCCCTTCCATTTTGCAGTGTGGAGCTGAGGCACAGACCTTGCCTGATTTTTGCCTCCTTGAGTGCTGGAGAAGCAGCAGGCAGGTTCTGCTCTAGATTATTGTCTCTGTTTTTGGACGTGGCACAGGGTAGATGCCTTATCTATGGGCATCTTCTGATATGATGGCTTTATGCCTCCTGAACTTAGGCTTCTGGGATGATAGCTACCATCTACCACAGCTTTTTTTTTTTTTTTTTTTTTGAGAGATTTTTTTTTGCTATAGGGTTCATGCTCTTGCCAGAGAGACAAAGAGAGAGAAAGTGAGAAATCACTCCTCCCACCCCCACAGGAGGGATGGCCATGCTGCAATCTCTTCTTCTCCATCCTCTTCTTGGGATTTTGGACATGTACCCCATGTGGCCAGTGTGAGTTTCAACCTGCTGGGTCCAGGACTCAAGCTGCAGTTGGACTTGTGGAAATCCAGTGCCTTAAGCACTATGCCACCTGCTGGCCCCAGAATTTGCAATATCTTATTCACTTCTCATAAACTATAAGGTAAACTGTTGTCTGTTTTCTAAGTCTGTTTCTGTTTTGACCAGAAACTTGTGCAAGTCCTACCACTGGTCTAGAAGTAGACCTACCTGGGCCTACAGTTGACACTCTT